GTATTGCTGAGACTCCAGATCAATAAGCAAGTGATATTTGTAGGTTCCATATGTACAAGCATACCTAGGCATACAGTTTCTCTTGGTTTACATCAAATGCTGAGCCTGCCTTCAAAGTATAGTATCAGGGTCTCTATTGCAAATTAAAATACAAGCATCTTAATTTCCCTGAAACTCTAAACTCTCAGTTTTACCATCCTGATGAGAGGACAGGGGAGAGTATAGAGATATCAAAAAAAAAAGGAAGCAGAAGAGAAAAAAAATCATGAAAGCATGTTCTGACTTGAAAGAGCAAAATACAGTATGCCTGTACATGGGAGGGGAACAACGGGTTTGATAATATTAAAAATAGCTTGGTCACAAGCTGGAGCTGCCAGAGTTAATCTTATTGCACTGGTTTTACTGACATTTTAATGTCTTACTCAGAATTTACAGTACATTATTCACTAAGAGCTATGTTCCCACCATAGAACATACAAACTCAGTGCTAGCCCCTTGTACATGTATACTTTTTATGATAATGTTGTGGAGTTAACTCTCAGGGTTTTTTTCCTCTTGATCCTCACTGTGCTCACTTGCGGTGCCAGGCTTGTAGCTACAGCCAGGTTTGGCACCAGCCCTGGGCTCTTGTGCCAGATCCGAGGGGATATCACCCTGTCAGCAGGACAGAGTGGAGGCAAGACAGAGCTGCCTGCTACAACAGAGAAGATGCTAAATACAGACTTTCTCCTGGGTTGTGTGGGTGTTTCAATTTATCCTGGTGCTAGTAGAGCATTTACTGTAGCTCAGGCAGCAGACAGGGCTGGGGAACAGTGGTGGTGGCTGCTGCAGACAGGAAGAGTCAGTCCAGGCTGCAAAAATTGAGGGTTTCACGTGCTCTGCAAGGAGTCTCTTTGAGAGATACAGAGAGGTAGAAAACCATCAGAGACAACCTGATCCATGGCTTCCACAGTGGGGCTGAGGCTGCTGAATGCCACACCAGCTCTTCCCAGAGGGAGCAACACTTGGATGTACAGGAGGCTCCTCGCCTGCGGTGCTTGCAGGGGCAGCACTGGCACTGACACAAGGCTGGACCCGTGCCTCCTGCAGCACTGACCACCAGGGCTTAAACGCTTCTGTTAGTGCAAGCCTCGCAGGTGGCACCTCTTTCTATGCATATTCTTACATTCTCTTGCTACTGGATGAACTGGGGATAAAACACAGGAGATTTTACAATTTCATTTAAATTGCATCTTGGAAAGGCAAACAGAGTGAAGGAAAAACCCAGCACCACCATTTAGGCACTAGAAATTCACACATCATGCAGGAATTAAAAGTTGAATGGGAAACCTCTATTCTTACATTTTTGCATTTGCAATATCCTCATATTTAACTTCTGCATGTCTTGAGTTTATATCTATAATCTACATCCTGATATCAAGAATACGAGCACACAAGACTGACATGTTAGTGGGATTTAGTTAAAGCAAATTTAATTCATCTTTCTACTCATGGATACAGAACAAATCCTCCTTTGCACCCAGTAATCTGAAAAACCAATTACAAGGGGCTTGTAGTTTGTTTCCGGAAAAGTCACACCCTAGTGCAAATTCTTTCATATCTTCCTTTTATTCTGTATGTCTACACCATGCTTATTTCCTCCAGTGCACTGGAAACCCTATACCACTCTACAGCGGGAAACAGAAAAAAATTATTTATGCAAGAACTTGAAAGGCAAGAGGCTTGCATTTCTTTCCAGATCTGTGTGAGGTGGGATGTTTGGCCTTGAATAACTCCTTTAACAACTTGGTGCTTCAATTCCCCTCTCACTAAAGGACTAACATCAGCAATCTCCTAGACCCAAGATATCAAAAGTCCTAGAGCCAGGGACTCTGAAATACAACACTAGACCAACACGCAGAGATATAGATAGCACCCATTCTCAATTAGTTTTAGATAAAACCAAAAAGTGGCAAAGTTTCCTGGTAGCAAGACCCCCCCTGATAGTGGGTCCATCTAGCTAATTTCCTGGGAGACATAGTGGAAAGGAAACAGAAGCAATTACAGAGCTTGGCCACATAATGTTCCACAAGCTAGGATACCCCCCAGCACCCCAGCAGGCTCCCAGGTCAATGGCTCCAGGGGCGATTTTCTCTTTCCAAGCACAGCTGGGAGAGGCATGTGAACACTGCAAGCCATTGCTCTCCCCTGACTTGCAGAGCCTCTCCTTGCCTAGATGACTTCTCTGACTCACTTGGAACAAAATGTGAAGAAGAAGGACTGATCATGCCCTCACTTGCCTGGAAGGCATTGCTGAACCATCATCAGAAATGGCCTGATTGCTATGAACAAGGGGAAGCACATTTTGAAGAGGCCTAGGCAGGAATGCCAAGACATATCACACTGCTCAGCTGTGTTCAGAGTCCTTTCCTGGAAGTTCACAGGAGGCGCTTAGGGACAGGACGAAGGGCAACGGTTGGGGAGCCACAGGTCTGTCTGTCCCTCAGAGGACCCTACGGAAAAGGCTGCCAGTTTGCGTTCTGCCAGCAAGATTCTTGTTGAATATCAGAGACTGGGTTTGGGGGAGGCCATCAAGTTAGAGGCAAACGACTCCTTTGAGGAGCAGACAGAGAAATGTGACACAGCCATGGAAGAAACACAGCAGTGGATGCATGCAACTGTTCCCACCCTGGACACTGCCTGGGCAACAGCGAAGAGGGAATCAGAAGTGACAGTACTACTTTCACGCTCAACAGGGTGAATCCAGGACACAGGCACAGCTTAAAATGTGACTTTCCCATCACTTTGGGTTCAAACCTTGGTGTCATTTATATGCAGGGTTGTGGGGTTTGCTGCCTTTCCTTGAAAATTTTTCCTTCTCATTAATTTTATCCGTAAAACAGAAAGAGAAGGATCTATCAGTAAGGGTGTGAGGGACGACACAAGTGTCATGGCAGCTCAACCTCTTTGTCCAGATCTCCAAATACCAAGGCTTAGGAGTGGCTCTCCTAAAGTGACAAGTCCCGCTGAACTCAGTGGGTGCACACTGTCCCATCAATCATCTGCAGAATCCAGTTTTCCATATGGCTTTATTAGATACTCCCCTGACAAATGTAAACTTGAAAGACACAGACCTAAAGTACTCTTTTTGCCTTTATTTTCTAACTTATTCTTAGAAACAGGCCAGCAAGTATTTTTAGTAAAATTTTCACCTGCTTCCAAGTCAGTTAGGCTGATCTTAAGATAAGGACATAGACACAAGGCACAGAGGGATCAGATTTTTAAAGCACTGAAGTACCTGAAAGTGCAGAGAGACACCTAGCTGTTTCCCATTGCTCTCAGTACAGAAGAACTAGACATAGCCCAGAACCTCTATACTGGAAAAATGTGAAGAACATTTCATTAATCTCAGGTGTCAACATCTTGTAAGTTATATTTTGCAACTTAATCCACAGCAGCCAGCCTTATGTGTTGAGAACAATCTTAGTACAGGAGCCTATGGTAATTAGTTATAATCTATTATATTCCTCACACAGACAACAAAAGAATAGTACTTGTGTACTGTGTTATGATCCCACTTCCTCCTACCTATTCCCTATGACAGAAGTAACAGAAAACAGTGTAAGTCTCCCAGGTCCCAGTCTGGTTCCCAGTCTGCCCACCAAGATGTAGATCACCTACATCCTCATCCCAGCACACACACCAAGCCATCACACTGGCCAAGAGGTGAATGAGCAGCCCCACTAAAAATGTGTCTGTGCAGAAGGTCTTGAGTGTTCACACTAATAAAAATGAAAAGTTGACAAGTTTGGGCCCTAAATGTTGTAAGCATTTATTCTCATGGCTTGGCTAATTACAGTCTACAGTGTTGGTTAAGAAAATTTACACTTCCCAGTGAGTAATGTATAAACCAAGATTCACATGAGGGTAATTTTTTACAAAAAACACAGTAAAATGCTTCAAAATTATACTGGCAGTGGAACTGCAACCAGCATGACAATTAGACACAATGTTAATCAGATATGTGCAAAATTAACCAGATTATTCTATTAGCCTGGGAAAGATGGTCAAGCTCCTTCCAGCTCTCACTTACCATTTCCTTTAAGGTGATGATGATGATGATGATAATTTTATTGTTAGAGTAAAATTTCCCCTGTTGTTCTTTTCTCAAGAGTCCAACTGGTTTACAACAGGGTAGTTACCTAAGTCACTCTTTCAAGGAATAGCTGCTCAATCTCAGCAGCTGCTGTTGCACTAAATTGCTCTTATTTTCAAATCCATCTGTCTGTTGCTATTTTTAATGTACTCATCCTGATGAGAACTGCACTCACACCACTACACTGTGCCTCACACAAAAGGGTCTAAGGAAACACACCTCAGCTCCTCCAAAATTAGTTGTTTAGGCTGTGAGCTTCACTTAAAGCCTGTCTTTAGAACACAGGTAGAGCGCTGTGGGCATGCTCATAGCTTCCTACTCAATTCCTAAATCTCTCGAGCAACCTACCCACAAAGAAAATCATCCCGGCATCAGGGCTGCCTCAGAACACATGGATATTTGCAGGCTGTCTGAAGTACAGCTTTTCCCTTATGTTGTGGTTTAGGAATGGTATTCTTCAATTTAGTACTCTGGCTAAAATCATGCTCTGCTTCCCCTCCCTCCCCTCCAATCGGAGGCACAAAAGCTAAAGATCATGGGTTGAGATAAGAACAATTTACTGGAAACAGCAATGAGATAAGAAAACAAACAGTAAGAGCAACCATATTAATAACAAAAAGTGTAAGAAAAGAAAGAATTTACACAGAAAGCCCCAGAGAGTAAACAATACCAGACTGCTCAGTCCACCATGTTTACTTGACCAGAAGGAAGCCATTATCCCACTTCTCCGGAAAAGAGAGAGGGAGTCCCTTTCCCCCTGCCCTCAGCAATGATGTGAGGTGATATAGCATAACATCCAGGCCTTAGCCATGCCCCCTCACAGTTACTGAAAAAAATGAACCCTGTCTTGGCCACCTTGCCAGACCTGATAGCATATCTTCAGTCAGCCCAGTGCAGGAACCTGCACATCCTGAAGGGATGCAGAGCAGTGTTCATTCCAGGGAGTCTGTGCAGAGCACCCCTGCAAAGCCAAATATCGTGGTTCAGATCCCAGGGGTGCACTAGACAAACACCACTATGGGTATAAGTGGTGCAAACCTACACCTGCCAGTGGGAAAATGAGCTGCAGCATCCCTCCCTCTCCTGTCCCGCCAGTACTCCCTGCAAGTGTAGTAGGATCACTCTCCAGGTGTTTGCTGAAAACAGCACATAAATGTTTCAAACACCACTTCATAGGTGTCACTCAAAAGCCATAAAGAAAACAGGAGGCGAAAAGCCTCAGCTCTAACCCTCAAATACCAAATATTCTTCTCCCCACTATGCAATTTTACAGGCTGAGAAGTGATGTTAGTAGAAACCTCTGTTTTACAGCTTTTCCTCAAAAAATCAGCATACAATCAGCCTCAGAAGTGTTACTGATGTTGCCTGGAGAAGACCTCTTGGATTTACAGGCAGTAATTAATCTTTAGCTCCAGCGAGGCAGCTGTGCTGCAGGGTTAGTAGGAGTCACCATGTTGGTAAACGATAATTGCACTGCACATACAGTCCCGAGCTGAGTACCCTGCAATTATGGGGAAGGTTTCCTGGGCCTCTTGCAAAGGCCCTCAGGTTAGGAAGGTCTCACCAGGCAAGCTGGGAAGACCCTTCTCTATGTGAGACAAACTTTAAGGCAGGGTGGCCTGGGCAGCTGAAGCCTCTGAGGACAATGCACAGACAGAGCCTAAGAAAGAAAGATCCATCAGTTCACCCATGTCTTGCTGGCAGCAAGAGTCAGGGCTGCTTGCCCTGTGCTATGTCTTTATACGTTGAATCCAACACCTTGAGTCACTCTGAATTGGTCCATTTGACCAGCTGCGGAGGGATAAATGGGATGCTGAGCTCAGGTGTACTTTGCTCCCTGTGGCTGCCATGGGATGAGAGAAGCACTGCTCCCCTCTCTCTCTGTTTTGACTTCCACCACAATTATGTCCGTTCTCTGAGGTGGGAGTACCATCCATAGGTCTCAACTGTGTTGGCTGAAGGAACCCTTGCCCATTGCTTGTCATACTGGTGGATGGGAATACCTTGGGTCCAGCCTGAGATTCTTGCAGGCACCAAGAAAGTCTCCTTCAAAGGTGGTAAAGGGCCTATGGAGAGTGGCAACGCTGGTTACTCTTCAATAAAGACTCATCTTCCTGACACCTGGCAAAGTCTGGCTCCTCTGGAAACAAAATAAACAAGGAGTAAAAGAGGTTAGCTTTCATATGAGTAAAGGAAAAGACAGTTTGCCTACTGCTATATACAAGAAACACCAGTCAAACACCAATACCAGCAAAATAGCACCATGGATATTTATAAGGGACCAGATCACAAAGTCTTGAAGTCATTAGTCATAGCTTCAAGGGTTTCGTCAGACCTCTCTCATACTGCAGGTTGTGCTCTATATTGAGCCCAATCACTCGGATTAGACTCAGTCACATTACCAGTGTGGACATCCACATCTCTGCCAAAATACAGGGACGAATGGGACTGCTGGTGCTCCTAGTAGCTTATTCAAGTGGTTAATCTCTTGCCTGTGCCTTATCTTGCATTTGAATTTGTCTGGCTCCAGCTTCTGGCCTATAGTTTTGGAGAAGGTTCCTTCTGGGAGAGGTATTTTCTCCCCAGGAAGGTATTGTCATGCGGAGCACTTGTTGCTCACCACAGGATTCCCCTCTCAGCTGGGGGCACCAGCCCCAAAGGCAGAAGCCAGAGTCATACAACCTGACACTAAGTAAACACCCCGGCTCCATTTGAATGGAAGAGCTGTCAAAGTGGCCTCAAAAAAAAAAGAAAAAAAAAAAAAGTCTTGCTGGGCTCTGCTGTATTTGTTTTAGTTCCACTTTGCAGTCTGGGGAAAGGGGAAAGGAGAGGATAGGTATCCCTCAGCCCTCTTCTCCAAGCCCTCCCAGCCCTGGTCGGGTGCATCTGTCCCCTCACCCCTGCACTGGCTTTCGGCTCCCGTGGAGCTGAAGAGAGAATAAGATCTCTAGGGTCTGGCCTCTAAGCTGATAATTGCAGCCTCTTCACTGGCACAAGGCGGCTCTCATGCCATTTTGACCCAAACTATGTCTTTTTTCTGTATATTTTTAATTAGACTCAAGAATGCAGAAAACCCAGCGTGAGATCCTTTCATTCCCCTTTGTTTAATATCTGTTATTATGACATTAAGTGTAGGGTTTTGTTGTGGTGGAGAGTTCAAAATCCCCCTCGGTTCTACTGCTGTAGCCATGGGTTCGTGTACATTAAAGTGGTCATTTTCGGATTAGCTCTTGCTTTCCCTTTGATGCATATGAAACGCTGAGCCAGTTAGTTGGAGAAGGCATTTTACCTCTTTTGTTGCCCTTCCTCACAACTAACGGCAGGGAGAGGACGAAAGCCCCCTGGCTCTCTTAAATCAGAAAGGAATTTCCAAAGGGTTTAAAGCTTTAGTTGCCACTTCTGTCTGGAGCTGCCTGACGAAAAATAGGTGGGTTTGCTTTCAAATAGAGCAGGCGGCGAGGAGCCTCGTAGTTGCTGCTGTTGTCATCATCGCTTGTGTGGCCGTTGCCTGGGAATTTGGGAGTCCTGAGGGCAGTACGAGAACCGAGCTGCAGCACAGCTCCAAACTTTTCACTGGGATACACAAGTTTTAGAGGTGGGAATCAGAATTTTGCTGCAATCAGGGCTTTTTTTTCTCTTCTCTCTTCCTTTCTTTTTTTTTCCTCCTTTTTTCCCCCCCTTTTTGATTTGGCAGTTAATGGGAAGCAGAACGAGGGTCTGATTGAACAAATGCTAGATTTCACGTATGCTTCACATTACACCGACAGCCTATGATTTCTTTCCGTTTACATAAGACCTACGCTCTGCACGGCTGTTTCTCTGGGATGTCTGGTATTTTCTTCCGAGGAGAGAGTATTCTCGAGCCTTGAGCTCTTCCCGCTTTAACCATTCATATCATTACAACTAGTCCTAGGGGCTCTCGATTAAAATAAAACCGAGTCAGTTGGAAATAAAAATAATAGAAAAAAAATGCTAGTTAGAAAAAAATAAATACACATGCACAAGTTTTCTGCTGCCTTAGAGATCATACCAAATACTCGTGTGAAAGTCGGGCAAACCGGGGGAGGGGGAGTAGAACGTCGCGGGGGGGGGGAGGGAATGTTTATGTCAACACCGCTCAGTGATGGAATAACGCGCCCCAACGTGAAGTCACAGCCGCGGGGCATGTGAAGTCACAACTTCGCCAGGTGACAGGTGCTGCAGCAGTTAGATGCGAGGGAGTCGCTCCTGCTCCCTTCCCGCCCCCGCCCCGGGCATCGGGAACCGAGAGGCAGGGGCTGCCCTTCCAAGCGCTGCTCCTCTGCTTGACATACAGATGGGGAAACGGGGCTCATGAAGTATTCCTGATCCACCAGAAAATTTTTACCTTGAGAACCTGCTTCCTTGTTTTGTGTTTGGTTTGGTTTTTCTTTTTTTTTTAAGACGCTACTCGTGCCTAATCAGCGAGATATGTTTTAATTTAAAAGCCAATAGACTGCAGCTGAACTGCGCTACAGAAATCCGATGTAAGGATAATTTGGAGTATTCAAAACCGCTGAGTCAGCGGCGGAGCCCATCTCCATGGATAGAATATTGTTTTTAACTCCCACTGCTGTGTTTCACTTACTGTTATACCGATTGTATCGTGTAATTATTGTTTGTTTTCCAAAAATGTAATTACTTCTTTTTCTTTGTTTCCTTTGCAACGTTAAATCTGCCAAATGCCTGAGTAAGGCAGCTCAAGAAAATAAAATAAAAAAAAATTTAAAGCCACTGAAAGAGGAGAAGGTCTCTTTCTCTCTCTTTAGCCGAGATTTTCCCTTTCGGACACTTTCTTCCGTCGAGTATTTGGTAAAGATACCGGCACGTGTAGAACGCCAGCCCCTTTTGAGGAAGACATCGGCTCCCGGGCAGCCCCACGCGTTTCTCGGGTGGCTTTTCCTCCTCGCGGCGGGCACGGGGTTCGGCTGCCCATCACAGAGCGATCTGTCAGGGGGTGATAGAAATACCAATAATAACGATAATAACAATAAAGCTGGGAGGTGTTTCCAGCCTGGTGCTGGGCCAAGCTGCACGGCGGGACCGGGGGCCGTGGAGCCAGGGGGCGGTCTGGGGGAGCCGGTGGGGTCGCCTGCGGACCCGCCCACCCTCTCCGCGGGCAGAGGGACGTCTGCCCACCGGCGGCTGCCGTCCCCGGGCAGGAGGTGGCGGGGATGTCGCCCCGCAGCCGGGAAAGCCGGTTCGGTGGCAAGTTTGGCCCTCGGGCCGAAAAGAAGAGAGGATGGCAAATGCTAACCTCCCGCTGAAACGGGGCAACTTTAAAGGATAGGCCCGGTGTAGGAGGGCAGCCAGGGCGGAGGGGACTGGCGTGCCGAAATGCGGGGCGGTCTTCGGCTTTCACAGCGCCGGAGGTGTCCAGGCCAGGGCCAGAGGAGTCAAATGCCCAGACTAGTATTCAGCATCGTGCCAGGAAACGTTACTCTGCTTTCCCTCCTCGTTAATATAGGATTTGGGAAGAGTGACCCCATATAAGATCGGCTCACCGGCTCGATAAATTATACCTGCTTTAGTCAAAACGGTGCAAAAGGATCAGATCCCCCCCACGCCAGCAAACATCCCTCTGGCTTCCCCAACACGTTCCCCGAGCAAGAGCTTGCGGGCAGCACCGGGGAAGGACCGGGCAGCTGAAGGCACTTCTCACCTCACCAGAGTCAGATCATGCTGCCGGGCTGATTCTGGAAAGGGGATGAATAGAAAGGGTAGGAAACCTCGCCCTCGCCTTGCCTGGGTAGAAGGATCAGCCGCCTAACTCCTGTCCTCAGAAGAGGGGTCTGGGGTTTCTCAGCATGGAGAAACAGATAGTCCCTGAAACCGCAGATTTTATTTCTGGCAAACAATGCTCCCCCAGCCAGCGCTTGTGTGCGAGACAAGTAATTGTGCTCCCTTGCTTAAATAAATCATTGATGGGTGAAATTACACATGCTCACTTAAAATGTAATGTGATTAAGAGATTATGGGATCGCAGTTAATATGTTGCCTCACAGCTTCTGGACCCAATTCCTGACACCAGAAATCCATCAGCCACAACTGTCCCTCCTTGCGGGGAGGCAGCTCCTCCTGCCACTGGCAGCCATGAGGGCTGGCCGGGAGGGGGGACCGGGGGTCTCCCGCCTCTGATCCCCGCAGGGGGCCGGAGAAGGTGAGAGGGATCTTCAGGTTTGCGTTTAAATGAATAATAACTCCTTGCTGTTGTTGTCTGGGGGGAGGAGGGGGAAGAAAAAAAGTTAAATGGAAAGGCAGGAGACGGGCTGGGGGGAAGCGAGGGGCTGGGGCTGCGCCTGCAAGCTGATTACCTCTCATCTGAAAGCTGCTCCATTTCCTCACGCATCGGGTAAGTCCTTTATCATGAGGTGGCACAAGCCCTGCCGGGGGCTATTGGTCGCCCCGAGGAAGGAGCTGGGATGGCAAGCGGGATCCTATCATCAGGCTGCATAATAACCCCGGGCTCGCCACAGCTGCGCTGTGACCCTTTGTGATGGAGCTGATAGTGCTCCCGTGAAATAATGTCCTCCTTTTGGGTGTGAAATCACCATGTTTATTAATTGAGCTAGACATGAGGGTTACCTTTTTCTTTCCAAGCCATGAAAATTTGTGATTCAGGGCAAATGGTTCCCCCTTCCCCCCCAAGTTGTGTTGCCAAAGGCTTGAGAGAGAAGGACCAGCTGGGGAGAAGAGCTATTTTGGAGGGTCGAGAGGGACCGGGCTCCAAGGCAAGTTCAGAGTAGATTCACGCGCAGCCACCCACACACCTCGCTCGGCTGTAAAAGCAGCCCCCCACTCCGGCCAAGCGCGGTGGTGAAATGCAAAACTCATTCCAAAAGGATGGAGGCCGGGGTGGGGAGGGATGCGCAGAGCGCAGCCTTCCCTGGCCGTCCCGCGTGGGGATGTGCGGTAATCACGGCATGGGGCGCCGCGCATCCCCACGCACGTACTGCAGGAGTTGAGTCGTGCTGAAAGAGTACGGCTTCTCTCTCCACACGCACTTTTCCTTTTTTTTTTTTTTTTTTTTTTTGTTTTTTGTTTTTTGTTTGTTTGGGGTTTTTGGGGGGGTTTTTTGGTTTGGTTTTTTTTTTTTAATTTGTTTTTTTTTTGTTTCGCAATTAGGCTTGTAACGAGCTTATTGCAGTATGTGCTTCTGGGCCAATAATACTTGTATTTAACCTAATTAAAGCCGACCTTTTAAAATATCTGAAATATAAACACGCCTTTTTTTTTTTCCTCACTCCTCTCCTTTCCTACTCTGGTTTAGCAGTTCAGCGTTTGAATCTCTGAGCTGAAACATGCAACCTTTCACCAGAGTACGGAGAAAGAGGGAGGGGGGGGGGAAGTAGCAAAAACCTGCGGATGAGGCGGAGGGACTGGCTTTGCCCAAGCATCTGCGACAGACTTCCAGGTAGGCAGCTACCCCCAACCCTCCCCCGCCTCCTGGGGCCAGATTCTTTTACCCCTCCCCCCTTCCCCGTCCTTCCTCATCCTCCTCCGGTGGGCAAGGGGCGGCAGCCAGGGAGCGAGCCGAGTGCCGCCCAGTAGCCGGGGTGAGCCCCTCTGCCCTGCTGGGGAGCGGGACCCACGCGAGGACAGCCAGCTCCCGGGGAGGCGTGTGGAAGAAAGGGACGCGCCTCTCCCTGCGCGCCAGGCAGACACGCGACTTCCAACCGAGCGCTGCCCGCCGAGGGGCGGGCGCAGCTGCGTGGGGACGGACACGAGCCTCCCACTGGAAGCAGCGGCACTCCTGCCTGGCGTTCCGCAGCCGAGGTGGGGCTGAGAGGCTAAGGCAAAGCCCCTGAAAGAAGTCGGTAACGAGTGTGTGTGTTAATGCCCTCTACTCCCGTCACACAGGAACTGAACTAGTCTATTTCCCGTGAAAGCCCACCCTCGCAAAATCTCAGCGAGGTGGGGTTTTTTTGAGATCAATGGGAAATTTAAACTTTTTTTTCTTTGCAGGGCAAATCCGAATATGCTAATTTTATTATTTTTTTAAACTGTGTAATCAAAATTGTCCTGGGATTAATTTTTTTTCCGCTGAATGACATTATAAAGAATTTCGTTCAAGAAAGGCAGACTAATTGCTGCCAGAAGAGTCTTTTCATAGAAAAGTCTGGTTTTCATAAGGCAGTTTTTGTGGATGTTGTGGTTAAATCCTAACGTAGTGGAAAGAGGTTTGGTTTTGGGGGTTTTGTGTTTTTGTTGTTTTTTTTTTTTTAATAAAGGCGATTTTTCTCAGCGGCAGGAAAGACCCACGCTGTAGTAAAAAACTATTCAGAGATTCGTGGGGCAAACGTCGACAGGAGCAAACGCCGGCACACTTCGATCGGCCGCGTATTTGTGGCGCGGCTCTGCCCCCACGGCAGCTCCCCGGTGCTCTCTCTCCCCGCCCCGGCCCGTGTGTCGCAGCTCCCGCGGCAGTAGCGCCCGGGCTGGGGCTCTGCAGCCTCCCTCTGGGCGGAGGGCGGGGAGGATGGAGGGGTGGCAAGGTGCGAAATGCGGGTATCCTGGCGGTGCTCCGACACCCCGCTCTGCCGGGAAAGCCGCGGACCTCACCTGCGATGAACCCAGCAGAGCTGACGGGGGAGGCAGGACCCCCACCCGGAGACCCTTCGCCTCCCAGCAGCAGCAAGGCGAGCAGGACAGCAGGCAGCCCCCCGCTTTAGGGAGCACAGCGGCCCTTCCCGGGAAAAGTGGGCCCGGGGTCGGCGGCGAGGCCAGACCGAGAAGGCGGGGGAGCTGTCCCCCATCAGCCATCCCAGGCACCTGAGCAAAAACAAGTAGAAAGAAAGAGCTAAATAGCCCGTAGAATGTAAAGATCATGCACATTTTTGTCTTTTTTTCCCGTTTTTCTCTTTAATTTTAAATCTCCCCCGGTTAACCACCCTGACTTCCTCTCTTTCCACTCCTTCAGCTCGGGGCTCCTAGGAGGAATTTTTAAGCCCCTTCGCAACATACAGGACCCCATTGCCTGAAGGCAAAGGGACTCAAAACAAAC